AAAAAAAAAAAAAAAAAAAAAAATATATATATATATATATATATAAACTCTAAACTTTTAAATGCTTGAATGGTATTTTAAATTTTAAAAAAATTAAAAAAAAATCTTTTCAAGGAAAATTATTAATATTTTATTTAAAAAATATTATTATAGGTATTTTTGGATACTATAAAGGTATTTAATTTTTTAAAAATATTAAAAATGTTATTAAAGTTTTTTTTTATATAATTTAAATGTATTTTGAAAAATATATGAGTTAAAAAGGGTATTTTTGAAACTTCTTAAAAGTTTGATATTAAATCAACGGTAAGATTATTTTTTTTTTATTTTATATAATTTTTTTTTAAGTTAAATGTTTTTTTTTTTAATGATTTCTTAGGCCTTGTGGGCTGAAGGAGCAAGAAGATTCGTGATGCCGGGGCTAGCGCCGCTGGGTTGCTTGCCGGTGGTGATAACGCTATACTCCAGCAACGCCTTCCTCCATCGCGGCTGCATCGACCGCTACTCCGCCGCCGCCAGAGACTTCAACGCTCTCCTCCAAGCCGAACTCCTCTCTTTACAGACTCATCTCTCTAAGAAATCCCCCACTTTCATCGGCTACATCAACACCTACGATTTCGTCGTCGACATTATCCAAAACGTCGGAAAATCAGGTCAGCCTTCATCCTTTACACATACATCTCTTCTCTTCATAAAATTGAACCGATAGATCAACCAATTAATGCGACGGAGTTCTGAAGGTCGATTGAAATCGATGCGTCGGTTTTTGATTTCTAGGGTTCGAAATAGTGGACGTCGGGTGCTGCGGGAGTGGGTTACTGGAGATGTCGCTGTTTTGTAATTACAAATCGCCGGTGTGCCTCGACGCCAGTCGGTACCTGTTTTTTGACGCGATTCATCCGACGGAGAAGGCGTATTACAACCTCTTCCGGGCCGGCATCCCGGTGTTTGATTATATCACCAGAGACTTGCTCTGAATTTTCTTATAGTATTTACCATTCTATTTTTTTTTTTTTTATATATATATATATATAAAACATATTATATTACAGATAATTAATAGAAAATCAATAAATGAATAATTGACTTATATATAACATTTATTCATTTAAAAGTTTAATTAATTAATTTTATACTTCATACAACCCTAGAGCCAATGTTCATAGAAATTAGTATATCCACCATCCAGTATCAGCACAAATCTCTAGCTTGTAAGCCGAACCGACAGCCAGATCTTATGTTAGGAAGAATTTTTTACACCCTTATAAAAGAATGTTTCATTCCTGTTTTCTAAGGAGATATTTCTAAATCTTTCGAACATTTCGTTCTCATCTCTAATCGATGTGGGATCTCACAATCCACCCCCTTCGAGATTCAACGTTCTCACTTACACTCATTCCTCTATCCAATCAATGTGGGATCTTCGGGGCCCAGCGTCCTCGCTGTCACTTGTTCCTCTCTTCAATCGATGTGGGAACTCACAATCCACCCCCCTTCGCACCTATCGTCCTCGCTAACACACTTGGTGTCTGTCTCTAATACCATTTGCAACAGCCCAAGTCCACTACTACTAGATATTGTCTTTTTGGAGTTTTCCTTTTCGTGCTTCCTCTCTAGATTTTTAATGTCTTTTTGGAGTTTTCCTTTTTGTGCTTCATCTCTAGGTTTTTAAAACTGCTAGGGAAATATTTCTACACTCTTATAAACAATATTTCATTCCCCTGTCTACTAGTAAGAGATTTCCACACCCTTATGATAAAAATGTTTTATTCCCTTTTCCAACCGACTCACAAAGTATCTATGGAAAAAATTTATAAGAGCATTTTGCTGAGCATTTGGCAAAAAAAAGGAATAGAATAGTTTCAAAGGAATACTCTAGTAGTTTTTTTGATACTATACTTAACATGGTTGTGAATTGGTTTAAATGTTCATCTTTATTCATCACTATAGCTTAACCTCCCTCCTTTTCCTTTTCAAATAGAGAGCTCTTTTGTAATACCCCTACAGCCCTCCGCCTAATATCATACATCAATCAAATTGTTTCTTATGAAATGCTAATTCATCATGAGTTTTCTAGAGCTTCAACTGTATTCCAGAAATGAAAGTTAATGAAAATCATACCTCCCTAACACCCTGCAGCAGGCAAGAGAGCTCCTAAGTTAGTTGATTACCTTACTTGGACGGTTTGGAGTCAATCTGCATTGTGACTGGCCCATCATTCACCAAATTGACCTTCTCAAACATCAGTGACAAAAATATAAGAACTGATTAATCTAAGAACTATCATAATCACTTGGGAATCAAAACTGAGCATATTGAGATTACCTTCATCTTTGCTCCAAACACTCCATCTGCCCACAAGAAAAGGGAACAAAGACAAGATTCAGTATACTCATTGTTCTATTCATTGAACCCACCAATTCTGAAGAGAAATCAAAGCTGGAATTAGGGAAAGAATGAAGCATAGATTACCTTTAATGGCATCTGGTTTATAGGATTTTCCAAACCTCTCAACTACAGAAGAGTAGAAGGGCTTAGCAGTTTGGGGAGGCATTGCCACATGAAAGTCCGGCTTATTGCCCTTTAATATTCCATAGAGTGTAAACTGACTAACTGGTTCCAATCCACCAAGTGCAATTTCATTAGTGGATTGTATCTAATTCACTTTCTAGCTACAATTTCTCAGCAGAAAACTAAACCATTAAACTTCTCTGTAATTCAAGGGGAACTCCCCTTCTCTTACCTAGCAGAACCTCGTAGTTCTTCTGCATTACCTGCAAAAGAATTATCAAGGAAAATGGTAAAACCTAATCCCAAAAGCCGTATTCTTACAATTTCTTTAAAAATTCAAACAATCAAACGAAACAACAGTGGTAGAGAACTCCTAGTCGGTATTAATCGGATTGAAATGGAAGAAAAGAGAGTATATATGATTACATTCAAGTCCCAAGCCTTGGAGGTACTCTCATTTGGGAACAATCTCATATTCAGGACCTTACGGCATCTGAAACCAAAGTAAAAAAGAAGTAGGTTCGTGATAAGAACAAGTTTTAATTGAACATAGAATGAGTATTATAGGCACAGAAGAGTACATGTATTCGGCGTCGGAATCGGTGTCGGAGTCATGAACGCCGATGAGCACGAGAAGGCCCGGCCCGATCTCCGAAACGGTGCGCCCATCGACCTGCGAAAAGCAGTAGCTCACACTGGCGATTTAGACAATCAACGAGAGATAGAGAGAGAAGGAGGAGAAGGTTGACCTCGACGCTTGCAGAGGCGACTCTCTGAACCACAGCTCTCATGGATCTGAGCGGCTGTGTTCTGGTGCTGCTGAACTGTGTAGTTCGCTTGGCGACTACGCTGGCTGCGAACAATAGTTGGTTCGCTACGCTTTTTTTTTTTTTTTTTTTTTTTTTTTTTTTTTTTTTTTTTTTTTTTTTCTATTATTCTTTTCTTTTTCGGAATTTTGTTAAATGGTTAAAAATATACTAAATTAATAAAAATATCCATAAAATTTCTACTTTTAAATTTGTTAATAAATAAATAAATAAATAAACCTAAATATTTAAAAATTCAATAATATAATATCAAAATTGAATTTTAGACAAAACTGTCCTTATATTAATATCCTTCAAATTTTAAAAAAATTAAAAAAAATACTCTTAGTATTATTTTAAAAAATATCTACGTAGCAAAAACTCTTAATTTTATATGATTTGAAATGGTCTATTTACCCTCCTCAATTATCTCCAGACTTTTAATTTATTTTTTACTAATTTTAAATAATTTTTTTCAAATATATTTTAAGTATTTTTGAAATAAAATATTAACCTTTTTCATTTATTTATTTATTTATTTATCAGTGTAAGAGTATTTTTTAAATTTTTTTAACAAATGTATTATTAGAGGAATTACTGAAATTAATAATTAATTTATATTAATTTATTATTTAAAATATTATTTTAGCTCCATTTTTTTCGGTTCATTTTATTTTGAATATGATGTGAATATATTTAAATTTTATATAGGAAAAAGTCTAAATAATTTCATTGAAAATTTTAAATTATGGCTAATAAAATAGATTTTTTTTAGTTGAATTGAGCTGAAAATTAATTTATGAAAATTACTATAAAGCTGAGCTGGAAAAACAACACCCCTCACTGAATACAGAAATTTCTCCCATGTATTGCTAAAATTAAAATAATAATTAAAAAAAAAAACCAATAAAAAGGGATTATTTTCAAAGATGCCATTATCAAGTCGTCAATCAACTCTGATGAACGCTACAATCCGTTCGTCGCTCTCCATGTCGTCGCCCCCTCTTCACTCCGATCGACCCCATTTTGTCCATCGCCGCCGCGAAAGCTTGAAAAAACTTCTGCTTATCTTTCGCCAAGCTCTGCACCATCGTCTTCATCCTCGCATCCGACACCAGAGCTTGATCCGTAGCCAACAGCCCTAGTTTACTTTCCAAATTCCCGTAGTACGCATGGTCGAACACAAACGGTGTTGTTACATCGAACGGCGCCACTATATCCGTATTTCCACCGTACCTAGGGCACGACATTTTAAGCTCCTTGAGTAGTCTCCCGTCGATCGCCGGATCCGGTTTTTTCGTGCCTCTGTAGTCGTAGAGACGGTTTGTGAAATGCTCGCAGTGCGCAAATCCGATCGTGTGCGCACCGGAGAGCACAACGAGGTCATCGCTTGATAGACCTTTGGAATTGAAGAGTTTGAGAAGCTGATCAACGGTGGAGTTTGCTTGCGGCAGATTGGAACCTACTCTGGCCGCCATTGATATCTTCCCGTCCCATCGTCCCTTTTTCACCTGGTAATACGGTCCTCCTGCCTGCAATTTTCAATAATTCAGAAATTATTTTATTACATGAAAATGTTAGGACTGAAATTACTTTTTCACCCCTAGACAACAGATGCTGACAGGCCTCATAAATGGAGATAAATTAACAGAAACTAATTTAAATTCGTTCATGCTGTCTTCCATGTACAACGCAAACACATTGATGATTATTAACTAAAGCATCATAGAAAAGAGGAATACAAGATTAAATAATGGAGTTTAGCAAAGGACAAATTAGTAGTAAACCGATATTCTAGATGAAAATTTAAAAAGTTAAGCACATGGAACTTTGATCCATTGCTTTGGTTTTTGCTTATCTTGATTTGGATCTATTGTTCGCCTAGTTGCAATTTCCATAACAGTAGCCAATTTTATTTCTATTGATGTTCTATTGAATATAATTATATAACCATCTAAGTTTTGATTTTATGTATGATTTTCATAAACTGGGGCTGTGTCAGAATCTGACTATAGAGAAATCGATTTCGCATGAGCTGGAAAATGGGGAAGCTGAAAAGACAAACTTTTATCTACATTTTGAGGCTGTGGACAAGTATTGGATCCCCATTAATAAACATTTGCAGGCCAATAATAAACAGAAGCATCTCCTTGTCATTTGGATTCTTCTATGCCCAGGTTTTCTAATCAAACAATGGAGAAAATGGCAAAAGTGGAAGGAAAATTTTCTAGGATTTTTGGGAATTCATTATGATACTGTTGAATATGTATTTTCTTTTCCCTTGATGTAACCCATCTTTCACTTTTCTTAAGCAGAATGGTTACAATGCAAATCCAATGTCAATTTATTGTTCCAACTTTTAAACACCATTCATTGGCTTTTGCTTAAAATTTTCTATGTTTATGCAGAAAAATGACCAGATTTCTTTGACTCAAGAGAAGGGTTCTAACCAAATGGACAAAATCTCGGGCTGCAATTGCGAGGATGTCAGCACAAGACACAACGCCAGGGCACTTGCTCTCAACCAACGCCTTGGCCTTCTTGATGCTTTCAAACCCCTCCGGTCTCAGCCCCTTGTTGTCCGCTGCATCCTTCTCCGCTGCCACTTTGCTGCCAGGCTTCGTCGATATCAGAATCGACCCATCACAGCCCTGCCATTTTCAAGAGCTTCTCAACAATTTTTATAATAACTAGGTAATTGAAATTGATTGCAGAATGCATGCAGTATAAAAGTGTATGATTCTATATGTGGGGTAATGGGGTTCCAATTTTTCTTACTTCTACAAAGCAATCATGAAAGAACAGGCGGAGTGTTGCTGGAGCTGAGACTGGTACGTCTCTGAACTGTTGGGTGGTGATTGAGGAGACGAGTTGCTCGAGGTAAGGGCATGTTTTGGTGTAGTAGTCGACAGAGAGGAGGCGGTGGCGGCGGGCGGGGGCCTTTTTAGGTGCTGGTGTTGCAGCACATTCTGATGGTGTGATGAAAATGAGAAGCAGAGTGAGAAAACAGAGGGGAGAGAGAGGGGAAGAAGAAGAAGATAAAGAAGAGACAGGCATGACTGAGTGTGAGAGTGAAGGAAGGGGCACCTTAGGACAAAGAAGGAATAGTGGAAAGAAGAATATAAAAGGGGAAGACCCCAGGAGTTGAAGTTGTTGGAGGACAGATTGCTGTGAAGAAAAAAGGGGAGAATCAAGACCCGTGAAACCCAATTCTTATGGCAAAAAGCTAGAGAGAGAAACGACCAACAGGCCAATAAAAAAGCTGGTGAGAGAGAGAGAGAGAGAAATATTTTAATATAATTATATTATATTATATTGTTTCTAGGTACTGAGGAGTACTGGTACCAAAAATTATATTTTGTGTTTGATTATGATATTGTAGGTGGGTCTGGGGGTCAAATGAAGACCATTCAGTAGCATCTAGAGGGCACCAATTTGGTACCAAAATCTCATTTTCACCTCTCATTTATAGGCATAAAATATATAGCAAATAATCAATTATAGGAACAAGAACAGGGGATTGGCTTATTGTCTAATTTAATAGAAGGAAATTGCTAAATCTTGCCAATATTTATCCTTATTTCATTACTGCAGTTAATACCTGTTCTGTGTTTGTAATTTTTTTCTGGTGAATACCTTTTATTACTAAAATCTGTATGTACTTTAAATCGTTGCATTTATCTTTGCAGTTTGGTATAAAATTTGGCAGCCACTGAAAACAATGAAATAAATTGAAGCCTTATAAAAGCTGATAGAGAGAGAGCGTGGTGGACAGAAGGGCGTGTAATAAGCCAAGCTAAGCATGAGTAATGAACTTCATAAATGCAAGGCATGTGCTACCACAGGTGCCTCACTCACTTCGCTTTACCCCATTTTTCCTACTCATATCAATGTCACCCACCATTTTTCATCCCCCACTTTAGTGTCAAATTGAAAAAACCGTCCATCATATTTCTATGCTGATACGGTCATATTTACTTTATTCCATGTGCATAAAGATGTCATTTCTATTTGTATATTCAGTATTTTCTCTACTTTTAACTGACTTGAGGCCATACCTGATATGAACTAAGTACGAAGTGAAGGAGACGCGAATATATTTGGATGTTGGTTAGAATGTGGAGTAAATATTGGGTGAGGACAATATGTTTATTGGTTTCATTGAGACTTTCTTAAGCTGAGTTTGAGTTCAGCCCTAAAATTAACAACTAATTTATCGGTCTAAGAACTTGTGAGATCCTATATCGATTGAAGAGAGTAACGAGTGTCAGCAAGGATACTGGGCCCCGAAAAGGGGTGGATTATGAGATCCCACATCAGTTGGGGAGGAGAACGAAGTATTTTTTATAAGGGTGTGGAAACCTCTCCCTAGTAGATACATTTTAAAAACTTTGAGGAGAAGTCCGATAGGGAAATCTCAATTGGATCAAAATAAATCATCTTGAGGGGAAGGACAATATCTGCTAACGATGAGTTTGAGCCATTACAAAACTCTTGATATATTGGCGCTAACTCGATAAGTATAGAAGGAGAAAAATTACCTGAAATTCACTGGCATCCATTCAATTGGATTGAAATAGATCACTACAGATAATCGCAGCCTGGTGGGTGGAGAATATTTTTTCTTGTTTTACATTTGTGGAAAAGGCTGAAGAGGTGATGCTAGTGAAACTTAATAGCTGAAAGGACCATTTGTCTCTCTCACTCCCTCATTCCTCGTGGCCTTTTGAATTGGCACCACAAAATTTATGGATCTGTAAAAGCAGTAATGAAAGCAACCCAGAACAAAAGGTCAGTGTTTTTTCCCAGTGGCAAAGCACTTGATATAATAATGTTACAATAAATAACCTTTTGGATTATTAATTGGTTGATGAGGGGCCACTATGGCTTGGCTTGACAGTGATCACTAAACATCGGGTCCCTGGAAACATATCAGAACCATCGGTACAATCTAATAATTATTTCATACCTAACAAAATTCTAACTTTTAAAACTAATTTTAACTTTTGCATTTTATATTTTATATTTCTAAGTTTTAAATTCCATTTTATTTTCAACTACTAAGTTTGAGAATTTACTTTATAACTCATTCCTTCGATTGAGCGTTTTTTCAGATGTTTATCAATTTATTATAGGTACTCTCTAATTGTAGCGCAGGGCAAAATTAGCTGCAGGATGATTGTACTAACCTGCTGCCGGTGACTTTCTCAGGGCTCCGTAGGAGAAGAAAGAAGGTATGGGGAAATTTCTAATGAAGCGAAAGTCCCTCTTTCTTTATAGTGTTGTCTGTCCCCTTCGTCCATTTAGGTTCTCCATATCTTGGTATAACTATAACGACTCAAACCTACTGTTAGCAGATATTGTCCTTTTGGGGCTTTCCCTTTCGAGCTTCCCCTCAAGGCTTTAAAACGTGTCTTCTAGAGGAAGATTTCCACACCCTTGTAAATGAGGTTGTGTTCTTCTCCCCAACCAATGTGGGACATTACAATAACTATCCCAACAAAGTAATCTTATGTAGTATCAGCAAGAGCCCTTTAACCCGACTTCTACACTAGAACAAACAAATAGTGTCTCTCTTTTTGAGAGACACCGTAAAAAAGCAAAAGCCAATAATAGAGAACCTTCAATGAGATTAGTTAGACATTAATTATCATTTCAAGAATCGATAGTCCAATATTACGATGATTTAAGGAGAAAATGATTTGAATAGTGAAATTGTAGCCTTTGTGAGTGGCAGACATATTCAGCAAGTGGCAACAGAATTGAGGACAAAATGTGAAACAAAGAATCTAGTTCTTGCAGAAGGGATAAACCCAACATTTGCATATTTCACAAAAGGATTTAGTCACATTATACTATGATTATTCATTAAATTCTGCTGTTATGTTTTTTGTCAGTCTGTGTGTTTTTAGTCTGCAGTCATTCCACTGAAAACCGTTTTGAGTACTTTGATGCTTCAAAGGTCAGAATTGCTTAGTTTCAAAGATTTAAAGTTTGGAAGAACATGGTGAAGAGTGGCACAGCCGTTCATGAGATTCCCCACCCCAATTAAAATATATCCCATCAAAGTTAGAGGACTCTGCTTCATTTCTATGTAAAGCTACAAAGTAAAAAGTTTGTAGGGTTGTTTCTTGAGGATAATAATTAATAGATGTAATTAGCGAGATGGGCTCCACGTTTATTTTAAGTTGAATTGCATATATCACAAGATATATATGGGTTGAGTTAGGTTTACTTTGACAAAACATTAATATGTTAAATCTACGTTCAAATGTTACTAAATATGAAATAAAATTCAATCTCTCTTATTTTTTTTTAAAAAAATCTAACTAAGTTATTGGTTCTAGATCACGAACTCTCTTGAAATTGAAGATTTTTGCTTCTTTTTTTTTTAATACTTCGTGGGGCGATTACTGTTTTTATACAAAATCAACAAAGCATAACAAACTCGTATAAAACAACTCTTTTGACATCTAATTATTTACTTTTCTCGATTCAGTCTCAAACACGTGAATTATGATAGTCAACTTGCATTATTACAATTCTAAACTCAGCTCAATCTTTGTTATCAATCTTTAAGTAAAAACAACAAGCAAAGAACGAGTAAATTGCTCTCCAAAAATACTTTGAAAAAATGTTGTGCTATGCCCTTTCTATTTTCTTTTTTTTCTACCATTTTTATTGAAAGAGTGTGACAATTACGTGACTAAATCTAAATGAGGGTGATCATGAGAATATGATGATTAAAAAATAGTTCAAAGAATTGAAAGTTATTATCTATATCAACAATATGTATATTCCTTTTTGATAGCTCAATCGTAAGAGCTCTATGTTAGGTTGTGGAGCCTGATATCTTCATAGTTTATAATATAAAGTTTTATCTATTGTCCTATTTAATTTATAAAATAAATGATTTTATTTGTAATTATTTGAAGTTATTTATAAATAAACGTTAGCAGCAAGTGAAATTTTACATTCTATTGGTCTGTGCGTATTTTCTCTTGTATTTTTTATCTAAATCGAGTGTGTGAGTTGATTTGAAGTTGAATGGACTCTCTGTAATTTCTTTAGAAATTGTGGGAATTAAAAAAAAAAAAAAAAACGCTAATATCGGGGAGCCCATTCCATGACCCAAAACCGCCGAAGTTGCTCGATTCGGTTCTCGATGGGCTTTTCTCCCTCAGATTCAACCGCCCATTTGAGGCCAACTGCTCAAGCATTCAGCTCAACTTCCGTAGTTTGGATGGAGAGGCTGTACTGAGCAGCGGCAAGTGAAAAGAATGGCGCAATTCTGGAAACCGGGCGCCGAGAAGCCCCGTCTGCTCGACGACGGAGAGGGTGGCGTTCTGTTCTTTTCTTCTTCTTACTCTTCTTCATCTGGGTATGTTCATGTTCTTCTTTCTCTTTCAGTGATAATAGCTTAAGCATCAGATTTCTATTCAGTCCCCCTTTTACAAGTTTTTGACTCCGTGGAATAGATTTGGGTTCTCGAGCATTGAAAAGCAGCGGCAGAGACTTCCTGTTTATAAATATCGCTCCGCCATTCTGTATTTAGTGGAAACTCATGCCACTACTATCATTGTTGGCGAGACGGGTAGCGGAAAAACCACTCAAATTCCTCAGGTGAGCTCTATATCCCTTCATGTTTTAAGGAAAAGATTGTTAGGAATCATGGATCACCACATATGCTAATATTGTCCATATTGAGCATAAACTCTCGTGACTTTACTTTTGATTTTCTCAAAAAGCCTCGTATTAATGGAGATGTATTACGATCGTTCCCTAAATTAGCCAAGGTAGAATTCCTTCCCAGCCATACTTCCCTCGAACAAAGTACTCCATAGAGCCTCCCTTGAGGTCTATGTAGTCCTCGAACCGCCTTTCCTTAATTGAGGCTTGACTCCTTCCTCTAGAGCTCTCGAACAAAGTACCTCCTTTATTTGACACATGAGTCACTTTTGACTACATCTTCGAGGTTGACAATTTCTTTATTCGATACTTGAGGATTCTATTGACATGGTTAAATTAAGGGTATGACTCTGATATTATGTTAGGAATTGCGACTCTCCACAATGATATGATATTATCCACTTTGAGCATAAGCTCTCATGGCTTTGCTTTTGAATTCCCCAAAAGGCCTCATACCAATGAAGATGTATTCCTTACTTATAAACCCACGATCAATCCATTAATTAGCCAATGCAGGACTCTCTACACTAATTGAATTTTGGTATCTTCACTATTTATTTTGTTAATTTTGTTATATAACGTTTTATGCGAGGAGCAGTACCTCAAAGAAGCAGGTTGGGCTGATGGTGGTCGAGTAATTGCCTGCACCCAACCAAGACGACTGGCTGTTCAGGTGCATTACTAGTTTTCCTATGCAATTTTTGCTTTATATTGCTAAAAGTTGCAATAATGTTGTTGTTGTGGTTGCTATAGCTCGTAGCTTACTGCAATCGTCTTTAGTCGAGGAAGATTTTGGCCCTCTTGTTTTTAAGCAGATTATAAATTTGTGGTGCGAATTATGACAAGGTTCATTTTGATGAGTTTACACTTAAAATTCTTGTTAGCAAGAGTGTCATTTGAAAATATAAAATGTTTTTATTCATTTCATGACAGGGAATAGGAGTCACTAGAGATGTTACGTAAATTAATTGGATTGCTTTTAATTTTTTCCACTTTTGATTTTTTTTTCCATATCATTTTCTTCTTGGATTGTGATCATCATAACCAATGAATAACATTGAATGTAACATTCTTAGGACATATCGTGTTATAATTTGCCTCTTTGGCGGAGAAGAACCGAATATAACAAGCTTTATACGAATTTAAGTTTGATATGAATTTTGTCCTTTCTACTATAATTATACTTGAACATGCTACTGTTTTGTTGGGGTTGCAGTATTTTGTTTTATGTAAGTTTGCGTAAAAGGACATGGATCATGTATTATGGAGTACTGAAGTTGTTATTTTGTGTACTCGAATTAGGATAGTTTTTGTTTGGAGCTGTACCTACACTTTTGGGACAAGTGAGGGAACCTTTGACGTGCAATTGTTTTTTTGTTATTTGTTGGAACATTTGACTTGAGAGACATGTGAGAATTTTAGAGGGCTAATTTCGCATGTGAGGGTTATTTCTTTGTTTCGTCCAGTCATTAATAACTTGATTATTTTGAATCCACTGCTTTGATTTTGGTACCAACAATTAGAAATTGCTATAATTGGATGTGAAAGACATATAGTGTTTAAAACGAATTTGACATCTAGTGTTTAAAACGAATTGTCAAGCCCCGGTAAGGTTCTTCGTTTTGCATCAAATTAAACCACATGCTCCACCGTTTGTGCGGGCCCTCGTCAATTCCTTTGAGTTTCATTCTTGTGAACGTATCCCCTAGGCTTTGGCTATGGCTATGTTCCATGCCTTTTTTGGGGTCGGATTTTAAAATTTTTTGTGGTTCATTTTGTTTTTTATTTTCATCAACTGAACCTCTGTTTGTAATTTATTGGTTGTTTCCTGTACAAGCTCCTTTTTGTAGTAGGTATTTTTATATAACTCATTTTTGTTTTCTCATCTATCTTAATGAAATCAAGATTTCATTATACATACATATACAATATATGTATGTATATATATATATATATGTAACGGAGGATCATTGAGCTTTTTTTTTTCTTAATTGCACAGGCAGTTGCTTCTAGGGTGGCTGAAGAGATGGGTGTTAAGCTTGGTGCAGAAGTTGGTTATACAATTCGATTTGAAGATCTTACAAACCCAGTGAGGCCTTTCTTCTTTACAGCTCAATCTCTCTAATCTTATCTTCTCAATGAAAAATAAATATTTGCAGATGTAATTTTCTATTTTGGCAGCACAGGATGTGACGAGGGTGAAATTTCTCACAGATGGTGTGTTACTCAGAGAGATGATGGACGATCCACTTTTGACTAAGTATAGGTATTGAATGTTGAAACTTTTATAGTACAGTCTCACTGTTGAATATGTTTTTTTTTAATATCTCGTTTTTCTGATATATTATTTTATTGGTTTCTCTAGCTTCCAATTGCAATTGGATAGTCTTTTTTTCCATGTCTGTTAAATATTTCTCTTGGTCATTCACATGAATTTTTTAAGTTTACAAAAGAGAGGTTGTTGTTGATCTGTTTTTTTTTGTGGGAGCAGTTCGTATCATATCATGCTATGCTTGCAATTTTTAATAAAAAAAATTAAAATAATTTCATTTGACCATCTTAGTGTAATAATGGTGGATGAAGCACACGAAAGGTCTATCTCGACTGACATGTTACTTGGTCTCTTGAAAAAGGTACAAAAATCCTTGATCCGGACCAAGTATGTCTTTTCAATAACTTGCAGCTTATGCATTCTCTAATGTGGCTGATTGCTTGAAATTCAGATCCAACGACGGCGACCAGATCTACGATTGATTATCTCTTCTGCTACAATTGAGGCTAAAACGATGTCAACTTTCTTCCAAACCAGGTTTTACTTAGTTGTTTTAACATTTGAATCTCGTAGCTGCTCATTGTTGTTTCAGTTAGGCCTTTTCCTTCTAGGCCTAGTGTCATTTATCAACTATTGTGTTATTACATTAACTGGATGGAACCTGAGTACCTTTAATTCTTTGGAAAAATGGATGGAGCTTGAATATCTGAATACCATGAATACCTTTAATGGCGGTCTTTTGAATTTTTCTTTGTAAGGATACATGTAATACACAATCATCTAAATCACATATTTCACCTTCTTCAGGCTGGAGTGTTGCATCCTCCAAACATGAACGTCTAGTTTGTTTCTTTTTGGGATATAGATTGTTTGACAAATTAAATTCCACTTCGTAGAATCCCTTGGAGGTTTCTTGGTTTTAATCACATTATTTTTTGTGGTTTTCCTTTGAAATAGCTTAAAACTTTGTAGCTCAATAAGACGTAGTGTTGTTAGGAATAGGAAGATCTCAAGGTGTCAATTGAAGTTTGAATAAGTGATGGTACTTTAGATTTTTTAGGCTTTTCATGGAGCTGTTGGTCAAAAGAAGTTCTGTCTATTGTGTTCCCCGCTTTTGATTGATCACCTCCCTTTTTTGGGTTGTTTTTTGTTATTTCATTTATCTTAATGAAATCTATTTTTTCATTATGTTTTTAAATGTTTACTCTTGCTCTTACAGTACCTTTGATTGGAGAGCTTTTCTAATTCATTTGGAGTGGGATGGCGGATTTCCTTTCTTGTTTGTATATCTCATCTAACCAAACGAAATGTTGTTTAATTGTTTCTTGTAAATAAAACTTAAACTAGAAGTGGATGACACCTTATGCACTTTTTTGAACTACCAGTCAATGAGATGGCTACTGAAGCCAATATTGATTCAGATATCTTCTATTTTTTATAAATTAGCAAAAAACGTCGAGGACTTGAAGGTGAGGCGCTTGAACCAAAGGTGGAACCTGCTATCCTATCAGTTGAGGTATAAAAATTGGCAAAGATTTCATAATGTCAGGCCATCTTTCTCTACTTTAGAAATTGGGAGATGCAAGTTCTCCTTTCCACTTTTTTTCTGATGTTATTTTGTCAGGAATTTGTTGACGTTCGTATCAAATAGAAATTCTAACCAAAGCATGTTACATCTTTCGACGTTCAGGGAAGAGGGTTTAATGTACAAATCTTTTACCTTGAGGAGCCTGTTTCAAACTATGTCCAGTCTGCCGTTTCAACTGTACTGTCAATTCATGAACAGGTGACCTCTTAGATTGTGTATATCATTAGTGATTTGCCAGTTGCTACATATTTACATGTGGTACAAGAACTAATTGGTACATTTATAGCTGATGCATACATTTTTGAATTTGATGCATTTAATTTTGAAGATGAAGTTCAAAAAGTAGTATCGAAAGAGTAGTGGACGGTTACAACTTAACCATCAAACTTCATTACTATTAGTTGGTGCTTTGCTCAGCTCATGAAGGACCTATTCAAGCAAGCATATGAAGGTTTTTGCACGAGCAAGTAGATATAGACAATGTACACGTGGACTCATTTGTCTACAATTTAGTCAAAAGCTGAATTGATTTTCAAGAAACGACTTTGAATGGTGAGAGGTGACTGGTGAGAGTGGAGTTCAATATTTTCAGAACGTCTGTTCTAGTATATGAACCATGCAATTGCAGTAACTACCTCAAACCATTATTGTGGCTGATTTGTAAAATATGGTTTTTAAGAAGCTAATTGGCCTTTCTGTGAAGCTTCGTCAGATAGGCTGGAAATTGTGTTCCTTAACCATAGCATACCATAATGTAATGTTTCTCATTAAACAATATTTTTGTTAAATTTTATGTTTGTTCCTTAGGAACCTCCAGGTGATATACTTGTATTTCTCACTGGCCAAGATGATATTGATACTGCTGTTCAATTGCTTACAGAACATGACCGAAATGATAGAAAAAAGTCAGGTCTGTTCATGCAAACTTCTATTTAAATTTGAGTTATGGACACTTGTTGATCATGCAACATCTAGAACTTGAAATAGTGTGAGAGGTTTGATATGTACTTGTAAGCATTGGATGGGCCCGATCGATTCTGTGTCAGGGTTCATCATCCCTACAATTTTTTTTTTTTTTTTTTTTTTAATTTTGAAAAAGATAAAAAATCTGCATTTTCTTTCTTGTGAATTTCTTTTCCTAGAACCCCAAGAATCTAAGCTTGTACCAGAGTGTCATAGACTAATTTCTTATAGTTTGCTTATTTTGTTTGGTTGTTGGCACAAAAATAAATGATGACAACACTTTGTGCTCTGCCCAACTACTCATAGCGTCACATAGAGTTGATGCATATGTTGCAGATTTTGGTTCATTTCAAGACTAATTTACTTGCTTCTTTTCCAGAATTGATCGTCTTGCCTCTGTACTCTGGGCTTTCACGTGCAGAGCAGGTTAGTGACAAGTTATCTTGTACCTTAGTCGGACAATTTGCTTTAATTGAGTACTCATTTTATTTGGCTATACACATTCTGCATAAATACTGTAGGAGCTTATCTTCTCACCGACACCCAGGGGGAAGAGGAAAGTAGTGATTTCAACAAATATAGCAGAGACATCATTAACTCTAGAGGTTAGATTTGTGTTTTATATGAATATTTTCCTCCTTATTGGCATTCCTTTCACTCTGAATTCTTCTGTTCTGTGTAGGGCATTGTCTATGTCGTTGACAGTGGGTTCTCCAAGCAGCGGTTCTACAATCCAGTAATTTCATTTTTTCTTTTAATGAGTAAAGATTCACTGTTTGTATCTTCTGCAAATATTGAGCTTCCTACCATTTCTTTGATTTTTTTTTTTTTTTTTTTTTTTGTAACCGGAATCAATCCATTTTTCTATTGACTGATAAAGTATTTTGGTCATTACTAATGCTCTATATTCTTTGTGTTTTAACAACTGTGTCGTGTGTTGAAGACTTGGATTCTTTGCTGTGGATTATATAGGTGACGATGATCTAGAAATGTATTGTTAACTTACCTCTTCTTTTTTTAGATATCAGATATTGAAAACCTTATTATTACACCGATATCTAAGGCCTCAGCTAGACAAAGGACTGGTCGGGCTGGAAGAATTCGGCCTGGGAAGTGTTACAGGTCTTCATCTTTGCATATACTTATCTTCTAAAAATGTTCAAATAGAAAGTGGCACGTCGAATTGTTTCAATTGATCTTCATGCCTTTCATTATTTTTCCAATTTCCCATCTTTACTTAAATTTGTTACTGACTGAGTTGAACACATTATGGTTGTAGTCCTTCTGATCAAGTTTTTTATGCCCAATGCATGGAATGGATTATTATAGTACTTCCTTTCGCATACTTGTCTTGTTGTTACAACTTATTCATTCAACTTTTCTGGCTTCATGCAGACTGTATACCGAAGAGTATTTCATCAATGAAATGCCTGCTGAGGGTATTCCTGAAATGCAAAGATCAAATCTTGTTACCTGTGTCATTCAGGTAAGTGTTTTTGATATTGTACCTATTGCTGTAACGACATATGGTGTTTCTGCTTGCTAAAAGATGAAGATATATATGCAGCTATTCATCACAAGAAAAATGATAAATATCAGAAATTATAAAATAATATGAATGTTGTTAATGGTTGCTAAATAAACCTCTAATTGGAAGTGAGTAACTAGAATACAACATGTTTGCACCCTTGCCAAAAAGTTCTCCATCCATCATCTTATATTTGTGCATTTCAAGCTCTAATCTCAATAATGTCATTTTTCCTATAAGATTTCCATCCATCAGTTAGTTATTATCTAATTTTCACGATCTGTTTGGAGTAGTTTTCTGTTGTAGTTAACTAACTAATCTTGTAGTTAGTTCAAGCTAGTGTGGATAGTTCACATTATTTTTGTTTGGTTACAATGTACTAATTGCGAACATGCTCTGTTTGTACCTGATGTTACTGTACATAAAGCTCATACAAATGCAGAGATTTTTTTTCCATTAGTTCTACTTAAATATTGTTTTTCTGCTCTGTTAAGATGCTAATCTTGAATTATTATTACAGTTGAAAGCCTTGGGAATTGATAATATACTAGGCTTTGATTGGCCATCACCTCCATCTCCTGAAGTAATGATTCGGGCATTAGAAGTTCTTTATTCACTTGGAGTCTTGGATGATGATGCAAAGCTTACTTCGCCAGTTGGGTTTCAAGTTGCTGAAATTCCACTTGTACGTTGCTTGCAGTCATGTATATTAATAATATAGCTCGAAATTTCAATCATTAATGGCATTCTAATACGTATTTTTTATGGTTCTTTTGTCTGCTCATTTGTTCACTAAAGTTTATTAAAGTATGTATGTATGTATCTATTTATCTATCTATCTGTTGATATTGCTAAGAAAACCATTTTCATTAAGAGGGATGAAATTATTAAATTGATAGTACGGGTATACTATATTGTTGAATATGTGTTCCCATTTCAAAACAAATTTCAGGAGCCAATGATCTCAAAAATGATCTTAGCTTCTGGTGACCTTGGGTGCTCGGAGGAGATCATTACAATTGCTGCTGTTCTGTCAATACAGGCAAGTCCTTATTTCTTAGCATGCCCCAAAAATGATCTTCAAGCTCATGCCGAGAAATTAGGCAATAAAGGTGTTTAGCTGTTAAGGGCCTCAAAATTTATCATTTCTTGAATCTCACTTAATATAAAATGTAACCACATAATCAGTGATTGATTCTGGTTCTGCTTGATATTTTATGTTTGTTGGAATAAATGGTTTGCGACTCTTCCGTGAGTTGCATCCTTTCATAACCATGGGTTGCGATCCTTCATCAAAGTGATAGCCAATATGTAGAAGAGTCATGGCTATTCGAATGGAAAGACGCCTTTTCTCACATAAAACTTTTCATTGAAGTTTGTTTTGGTCTATAAAGTAATGTTCACTCGAACTTGTGGAATGAAGTGTTGCATCCCTAAGAAGATAATCTGATCTATCTTGGGACAGAATCACTCATTAAACTCGGACACTAGAGAGAGTAGAATTGTAAAATTGTTTTAAGGAGACAACACGAATTCGTCGGGTTCAGATTTTTCTCTTGCCTACCATTTATTGTTTGCATTACTATTTTTCTGTTTTAGGTGATGTTCTTATGGCATAGCATTGTTTTACAATTAAAATGTCATTTGGCAGTCTATTTGGACTTCTAGTAGGGGAGCGCAGAAGGAACTTGATGAAGCAAGGTTGCAATTTGCTGCAGCTGAGGTACTTGTCTAAGTCTACCCTGATCATGATGTATTCATCAATTCATGTCAGCTAGATTAGCATTTCATAGACCAGTCCTAGCTTGAAAAGTGAGTCGATGTCGTGTTTAATTATCTTGATGTATGCAGGGCGATCATGTGACCTTTCTTAATGTGTACAAAGGATTTCTTCAGTCTAATAAATCTTCACAGTGGTGTCACAAGAATTTTATCAATTACCAAGCTATGGTATGCATTTAAAGTCATACGTGTAAGCGTACAAAATATTTCTTTGTGCATTTCATCGTCTTCGATGTGCAGTGTATTCACCGACTATCCCCAACCCAAAATAGAGGGAGCATGAGATCTATAGTCCGACACGTATGTATTGCCACAAATATTTGTCATAGTAGTAAACTTAATCTGTATGCAGAAAAAAGTAATGGAAGTTAGAGAACAACTGAGAAGAATAGCACAGAGATTAGGCATCGTCTTGAAATCATGTGAAAGAGATACTACGGTAAATCTTTGACCTACATTTATATTGATTTGTTCATTTTGAAAGGTATTATCTCAAGCTCATCTGTTGAGCATGTTGCTCCTCAATCCTGTCTTTTGTACTTAAAGTTCCATCAGAACTCCTAATTTCTGTTTGAAATATACCCTTTTTTCCCCCTTCCAACAGGTTATACGCAAGGCAGTTACTGCTGGATTTTTCGCCAATGCGTGTCAATTAGAGGTGAGCAATTTCCCGTTCTAATTTGCTACTTATTTATAGAGTTCATGTTGGGTTAATGGAGCTTGCTATTTATTTGGGTTAATGGAGCTTGCTATTTATTTGGGTTATGGAGCCTTTATAGCTTATTCTATAAAATTGTTATACTTAGTAAAACTATGTATATATAAAATAGTTGGTAAAAAGCTAGTATGTATGTGTGTGTGTGTATATATATATATAGTAGATAGTAATATATAGTAGGTGGTTATATCCGGTAAAACTATATATACTAAACTGAAACCATATATATACTTCTTCGGGCGTGCTTTGAAAGATGCTCTTTGTACATACCTGAAAGTTGTACTTTCTGCCTTCTCTGTATTTTCTCTGCACCTACCTGAGCATTCTCTGTATTTTCTTTGCACATACTCAAATGATGTATTTTCTGCCTTCTTTGTAGTCTCTTTGTACATACTTGAAAGGTGTACTTGCCTGTACATACCCGAAAGATGTATTTGATGTACTTTTCTATACATACCCGAAAAATGTATTTTCTGCATTCTTTGTATTCTCTTTGTATACACCTGAAAGATGTATTGTTTGCATTCTCTGTATTGTCTATATTCTCTCTGTACATGCATGAAGTTATCGATATAAACCTTTAGCCAATCTTTTATCTAGATCGTGCGTATGCGTTGTTGTGCGATCTTAATAGTTCAAATTTTTGTGTTCTCTTTTCTTGTAATCATGGCGTGGCAGTTTATCTCTCCTTCTGACAAGTTCATATGAAAATCTTTCATCTGTCAAGAAACTAATCTAGTAAATATCTATACCTTTGATTAACTGTTCGTCTGTAGGCATAGACGTAGAAACTGATAAAGTAGTTCCTCCCATAAAAGCTGATAAATTTGGTGGTGTGTAGGCATACAGTCACAATGGGATGTACAAGAGTATCAGAGGTTCTCAAGAAGTTTATATTCATCCCTCTTCAGTGTTATTCAGGTTAGTTTGAACAAAATCTAAGCGTAGGCTGTTGGCTTGAGGGGTATATATATTGATCGAAGAACTCGTGTTGGTTGTGTTGCAGAGTTAATCCAAAGTGGGTGATATATCATTCGCTTGTGTCGACTGACCGACAATATATGCGTAATATCATCACCATTGATCCGGGATGGTTAACCGAGGCTGCTCCCCATTTTTACCAGTACAGGCAGCTCACTCATATGCCTCACTGATCCTTTCTTTATCTTCTACACTTCACCAATATTTTGGCAGATTTGAAGTCTTCCAAGAGTAGTCATCAAATTTTTAAAACTTAATACAGAAATGGTGATATCCAAAATTTTGATTAAATTGCAAATGGGTCCCTGTAGTTTCAAGAAAATTAGAATTTAATTTCCATGACTTTAAATGATGGAATTATTCTCTATAATTTGTTAAAAATATCATAAGTAGTTCTCAAGTACTTAATTATTATATGGGTTTTGTCCAATTATAAGTTTTTATAAATTCGAATGAATTCTAATTTTAAAATTATAAGAATTAAATTCTAAATTTTTAGTGATAAAATTCTAATTTAACCCGATAATAAATAAATAAATTTTACTAATACTAAGATATTCAAGGGGTACAGAGAAGTCTTCTTTGACTCCATCCATCCGTCCCTGCCGGGTGGTTATTGCGATCACTTCGTCTTCCATTTCGTCCATCTCTTTTTCGATGGTATTCTCGTCAATTTTGGATCCAATTCGAAATTTTTTTTGGGAGGTATCAAGGAATTTGAATGTAATAATATCGATTCTTGACCAGTTTATTATTCTTAAAAAAATAGATATTTTAAAATTTTCATTCTTCACTATAATCTTTAATATCTTTAATAGGGTGTAATTTAAATATTAATTAGAGTCTCAAAATTAATTAATTAAATTTTTAATATAATAATAATATATATATTAATATTAAATGAGACAGGAAATATAATTTTTCCCAACTTTTATAAATACTTGAACCATATCATTACCAACTAAAAAATGGTTAGTTTCAAGAAAATTAAAGAATTAAAATTAATTTTTGACCCTAATAAATTTTTACAAAATTATTAGTTAAAAATGTAAATATATAGTATGTAAGATAATTTTAGTTTAATTAGTTATTTAATAATTAAAAATTAAAAAATAATTAAATAAAAGATATTGGAATGATTACATCGAATTGAATTGTTGATTGTGTAAATTAATTATTAAAGTGGATTTTTTTAAAAAAAATTATATTCGTAAATATCTTGTTTTAAAATTACTTTTACAAAAATAAATATTTTTAAAATAGTTTCAAATTTATATTTTTGGTCGAATTATTAGTAGTAATTTAATACAAATTTTAATTTATGTGAATTTTCTTTTTCTCTTTTACCAATCTCACTATTTTATTTATATATATATATATATATATATATATATAAATATGAAAAGATTGAACCATTGACTTTAAAAATTGTTATATATATATATATATATATATATATATAAATATGAAAAGATTGAACCATTGACTTTAAAAATTGTAACCGATCTTTGAATTTAATGTCGGTAATGTAATTTTAATTTAAAATATTATCCGACTTACCTACCTACTTAAAATGTAATACGAAACAATTCTCTGAATGGAGTTCTCCAAAGCTAAAAGTAAAACGGAAATTGAGTACTGAACAACTTTCTATCTGTGCCTATTCTTCATTACAAAAAGCTTGACAACTAGAGCTTAAAATCAGGGCCGATGTCAACTCATGCATCCTTATTTTCGGGTTCAGGTTTTGGATTTACCTTGGGAGCCAATCACAATTACTACAAGAACAACTTTCTATGTGTGCATATTTTTTCGTTACAAAAAACGTGACGAGTAGAGCTTCAAATCAAGGTAGATGTCAGCTCATTCGTCCGCATTTTCGGGTTCAGGTTTTGGATTTACCTTGGGAGCCAATCGCAGTTACTACTAGAACAACTTGCTATGTGTGCATATTTTTTTTTCACCAAAAACGTGACGACTAGAGCTTCAAATCAAGGTCGATATCATCTCTTTCGTCCTCATTTTCAGGTTCAGGTTTGGGCTCAACTCGGGAACCAATCACATTTACTTCTTTGCCCTTTGACTTTGACTTCGTCTTCGATCCATTGGAGGTGTCAAATGTAATTTTGTTGTAATTTGATGCACTTCCTCCATCTCTATGCATTGAAGCCTCCATAGTTTCCTTCAAAAAAAACATGACCAAAAACATGAACATTATCATTTTTCTTAAACAAAAAAACATGAACATGGGAGAATCATTCTTACTTGGAAATGATATGGTGCAAATTGATTTGGAGTTGTTGAACTTCTCAATGCCAATAAACTGCTGCTATCTTCAGCCAATTGATAGCTTCCACTGAAATTCATTTCATTTAAAACATTTCAAAAACTAAAAAATTATGAACAAGAACACATTAAAAAAAAAAAAAAAAAAAATTAATGGAACCTCAAATTTGAATCCAAAAACATTGCAGAGCGATTCATTTCGGACGAAGACGACGACGATGACGACGACGAACAACCCTTTTTCCTTGCAATATTGAACAGATTTGGATCCCAATGGGCTTCATCAAGAAAGGGTCTCGTCCTTTTTCCACTTACAATCTGTCAAGATTATGAATTTTTAATATTATTATTCAATTTTGCATGCATATATATATATATATATATATATATATATATATATATATATATGTATGTATGTATGTATATAAACGGAGAAGAAATTGCCTGTTCTTGTTCCTCCGGCGCCGTCCATGGGTGGTTTAAATCAGGAGATTTTTGGCTTGAAGGTTGCTCTATTTGATTGAAGCAATTAGGCGGCGGTGGCATTGCCGGCGGACACGATGAGGATGAGGCGGAGGTCTATTTGATTGAAGCAATTAGGCGGCGGTGGCATTGCCGGCGGACACGATGAGGATGAGGCGGAGGCAGGAGTGAAATTTTCCTGAAAATTTTTAATATATTTACACTAATTTTTTGAAGAAAAAATTAAAAGGGTTTGGAGTTTAATATTGTCTTACCATTGGGTTGTTGTAAAAATGGCGATTGAGTGAGGGAGGTGAGAATTGGAAATTGGGTAAAAACTGCGGCGAAATATTCATTTGGGTGTCGGATTTTGGTGGCGGAGGTCGGGGACGGAGAGTAGTGAACGGCGAGAGATTTGGCCGAGAAGGGAACTCACGCGGTGGTAGGAATGGAATTGGGGTTAGAGGTAGCGGTGGTGATGGAGATAGGAATTGATGTGATGGCGGGGGAGGTGGCGGCGGTGACGGCGGGGACATGGGTGGGAATTGGGTGTTGGAGTCTTGGGCTTGTTGCTCCTTCAGAATCTTCTCGAGCTCCGCCACGCCTGGTCCTCTCCGGGGAGTACGCTGTCGTTTGGCCGGAGTTTTCTTCATCTCAGGGGTTTATATCTTTTGGTGGTCGGGAAGTTAGTGGTGTATGGGGTTTATATAAAGAAAGGTTTAAATGGAAGGGGAATTAGGAGGCGGAGGCGGAGGAGGGGGAGGAGGAAGAGGAGGCATCAGTTTCTTGGCGAGTGAGGGGGTTCGAATCTGAGAAAATCTTTGCCATTTTTATTATGGACAGCTTTTTGTACTGTTTCAATGCCTGTTTTCTGCATGGAATAGTCAAGGAATAGGTCTCTTGGTCCCCTTTTGCCATATAAATATGTTCATCTATTACCTGCCCATTACAATATTTTCATTGCTCTTCCTTATATATTTCACCATTACACTAATCCACTTCACAAATATTGTCCTCTTCAGGCTTAGTTTTGTTCCTCAATTAACGTGAGATCTCATAATTCACACCCTTTAGGGCCCACCGTCCTCCTCCCCCACCCTGCGATCTCACAATTCACACCCATTTAGGTCGCTCCTTTCTTTGATCTATGTGGGACTCACTAATCATGATGTGTCACAATTCACCCCTTCAGGACCCAGCGTCCTCACTAACATTCGTTCCCTTCTCCAATCTATGTGGGACCCACCAATCCATCCCTAATTGATGTGTCACAATTCAACCCCTTGAGGGCCCCGTGTTTGGGTTGATATTTGTTCTTTTCAACAATCTATGTGGGACCCACCAATCCATCCCTACCTGATGTGTCACAATTCACCTACTTCAAGGCCCTAGCTTCCNACTGCGGCGAAATATTCATTTGGGTGTCGGATTTTGGTGGCGGAGGTCGGGGACGGAGAGTAGTGAACGGCGAGAGATTTGGCCGAGAAGGGAACTCACGCGGTGGTAGGAATGGAATTGGGGTTAGAGGTAGCGGTGGTGATGGAGATAGGAATTGATGTGATGGCGGGGGAGGTGGCGGCGGTGACGGCGGGGACATGGGTGGGAATTGGGTGTTGGAGTCTTGGGCTTGTTGCTCCTTCAGAATCTTCTCGAGCTCCGCCACGCCTGGTCCTCTCCGGGGAGTACGCTGTCGTTTGGCCGGAGTTTTCTTCATCTCAGGGGTTTATATCTTTTGGTGGTCGGGAAGTTAGTGGTGTATGGGGTTTATATAAAGAAAGGTTTAAATGGAAGGGGAATTAGGAGGCGGAGGCGGAGGAGGGGGAGGAGGAAGAGGAGGCATCAGTTTCTTGGCGAGTGAGGGGGTTCGAATCTGAGAAAATCTTTGCCATTTTTATTATGGACAGCTTTTTGTACTGTTTCAATGCCTGTTTTCTGCATGGAATAGTCAAGGAATAGGTCTCTTGGTCCCCTTTTGCCATATAAATATGTTCATCTATTACCTGCCCATTACAATATTTTCATTGCTCTTCCTTATATATTTCACCATTACACTAATCCACTTCACAAATATTGTCCTCTTCGGGCTTAGTTTTGTTCCTCAATTAACGTGAGATCTCATAATTCACACCCTTTAGGGCCCACCGTCCTCCTCCCCCACCCTGCGATCTCACAATTCACACCCATTTAGGTCGTTCCTTTCTTTGATCTATGTGGGACCCACTAATCATGATGTGTCACAATTCACCCCTTCAGGACCCAGCGTCCTCACTAACATTCGTTCCCTTCTCCAATCTACGTGGGACCCACCAATCCATCCCTAATTGATGTGTTACAATTCAACCCCTTCAGGGCCCAGCGCCTGGGCTGATATTCGTTCTCTTCTCCAATCTGTGTGGGACCCACCAATCCATCCCTACCTGATGTGTCACAATTCACCTACTTCAAGGCCCTAGCTTCCTCACTGACATTCGTTCCCTTCTCCAATCTATGTGTGACCCACCAATCCATCCCTAACTGATGTGTCACAATTCACCCCTTCAGGGCATAGCGTCCTCACTAACATTCGTTCCCTTCAACATTCTATGTGGGACCCACCAATCCATCATGTGAGATCTCACAGTTCACCCCTTCAAGGCTCAACGTCCTCATTCATTGACATTGGTTCCATTCTCCAATCTATGTGGGACCCACTAATCCATTCATAAGTGAAATCTCACATTTCACCCTTTAGGGCCGAATGTCCTCACTTACATTTGTTCCTTTCTCCAATTTATGTGGGACCCACCAATCCATCTCTTTTGGGGCCAGCGTTCTTGTTGGCACACCACCTCATGTCCACCAACTTCAAGGGTTAGCCTCCTTGCTCTCACATTGACCAGTGTCTGACTCTAATACTTTGGGTTTTCCTTTTTGAGCTTCCTCTCAAGATTTTTAAAACGCGTCGAGGAAGATATTTTGACGCAATACTTCATTGTGGGATCTCACAATAGTTCAATAGATTAAAATGATCGAAATTCTATTCAATGTATCGATTTTTTTTTAAAACATCAAAAGTCGACATGTCCATCTAACTCGAGTACCCAAGCCGTGAATGGAGCAAGGAATCCCATCATTAGATGGAGAAAGAAGTTTGGAAAACATTGTTGCTCTTAGCTCAATAGAGTTGGGGATGTGGATAATATTCATCGTCCCTACCTACTCTCAACTATACTCTAAATTTTTTAAAAATTATGTTGATGGAAAACACAATTTATCCATTAATTTTTTTAAAAAAATAAATATATATTTTAAAAAAGATAGAAAATTGAAAATTGAAATAACCCACATTCCGGCATGGATAGAATTGATTTTTTAAATTAATTATTATATATTTTAACTCATAATTTTTGCAATAAAATATTAAATCTGAAAAATAAAAAATGTTTTTATATATGGAAGTATTTTGTTTTTTTGAGAAAAAGTACAAGGAAGTTATGAGCAGGTAGCTTGGCCAGCTCAAAAATTAAGAGAGTCAGTAATGGTTGTTTCATATATAGACAAATAAAATATTCTTAACATAAATTCATATTATTACAAATAAAATTAATTTAATAATTATTAAAATATAGTTATCCTTTAAATTATAATTTAATTAATTAAAAAGAATAACAAACAAAAAACATTCTTAAATAACAAACAAAAATACATATTTTTAACACATAATTAAAAAGAATAACAAACAAAAAACATTCTTAAATAACAAACAAAAATACATATTTTTAACACATTTTGTCTGTGTTCCATCCACAATTTGACAAATAAAACAATTCATGTAAATAATATTTTTTAATAATAATAATAACCAAAAACTAAAAAAATTCAATTTATTCTCAAAATTTCTACTAAATCTCGAGCAAATACGCAAGACTTTGTTGCTTTGGCAACGGATCCAATGTTGATCAAAATTTCATTGTCGAGTGCATCCCGAAAACTTTCTTGATAGAAAAGGTAGCGTGGAAAATTCTTTGATTGGATAGAACGTGACAAGATATTCGAAGATGAAATTCCTAAGTTAGGGAAAGTTGTGGGAGGTATGGATCCGTTTCCGGTTGGAATATTGTTGTTATAGTGGTACCTCTAGGGGGAAAGTTGTGGGAGGTATGGATCCGTTTCCGGTTGGAATATTGTTGTTATAGTGGTACCTCTAGGGTTGGTAACTCTCGACCCCTTAGAAGAGCTAAACATTCTCTTCTAATTGGTATCTTAATCCTAGTAAATTCAAGCAACATACTACTGACAAACAACTTAATCTCAATAGGTCTTACGTGTTTCTCTTAAAATAACGAAACAACATGCATTAACATTATTAACTTATGTCAGTTTTGATGTGCTTATGTTAGATACTGTGAGATCCCACATTGGTCTTACAGGGGTGTGGGAAGCTCTCCTTAGCAAATGAGTTTTAAAATTGTGAGACTAACGACGATACGTAACGAGCCAAAACATACAATATCTACTAGTGGTCGGTCTCCATCATAAACGTATTTTAAAACGGTGGGTATATACTAGTGGTGGACGAGTCGAGTAAGGCATGTTGATGCAAATGTAAGGAAGCAAACTCCATAAGGCAACCAATCTACAAGTTGAAATCCTTCCAAAGAAGAAAGAGATTGGAAGAAATTCAAAGCTTCATACCCTTTCTCTAACACCAAATCTTTCTATAAAAATCAATGTCAGATTCTTTAGGTGTGAGTAGGTGGGGCTTACCAATTAGCAACAAAATACCTTCACATGGCCTTCCCACAACTCATGCAATCTTATCTAATCATCAACGCAATCACAAACTCAACCAAAACCAAAGCTATGTTCTTTTTTTTTTTGTTGACCCGATTCAAATCTTCGTCTCGAAACCTTTAAGATTGTGTTTGGTGGTTTGTGAACGTTAAAATGTAGTTCATAAACTTAAAAAATGTTCGATGGTTTTTTGAATGTTTATAAAGACGGGTTATACAGCAACGAGAATGTAACAGTTCAAGTTCACTGATAGTAGACATGGTCTGCTTTGACCTGTTATGTATTGTCGTTAGTCTCATGATTTTAAAACGCGTTTACTAAGGAGAAGTTTTTACAC